CCTGAATGTCCTCTTTCGAATGGTGAAAACCGCAGGTCTATATCTAGTTTCTATCAAAAGTTATTCAATTTACAGTCAGGTGCATTCTATTTCGAAACGGATAGTAGTTGCAACCATTGTCAGACAGAAGCAAAAGAGTGAAAGAAATTTCTAATAAAGAAATTGTTTTTTTTTTTTATTAAAAGATTGTCTTCAAACCAACAACTGAGATACATCTTCGTGAAGCTGAAATTATTGTTGTTAGTGTTATTAATGTAGCACCATCACCGAAAGGAACAGAAAGTGGTGGTCAACTTAATCAATCAACAACACATATAGGTGCATCACAAAGTACATTAAAAGGTGGTAGTGAAGCAGGTGCAATACGAAATGTTATTACGAATCAACAACAACCAGTTGCACCTCCAGTTGAAGAAGAAGTAGCACGTATTCGACTTAAAATTTCAGCTAAAGCGACATATAGCAAGTAAGTATTTTCTTTTTTTTTTTTTTTATTATCTTCGTATACATATAGAATAACTTTTTCTTTTTTCTACTTTTAATAGATTTGTTTTAATGCCTGAAAAAGAAGTTAATTTTGGTCCAATGCCAATGGGTACTTCGCGTCGTATAGAAAAATTTATTATTGAAAATCATGGTGAACATGATTTTAAATATATTATATCAAAATATCAACGTGAAGCTTCACCACAAAAATTAAATATCAAGTAAGTTATTAATCATGTAATTTATTTTTGTTTTTGTAAGTATTTCTTATTATAATAATATAAAAGAGAATATAAGAAAGTTTCACCACCTAATCGTGCTGATTCAGCAATGAGCGCAAAAACAGTACGAAAATATGATCAATCAAGGTATCAAATTTTGCCAACTAATTTTTGAAAAAAAAAAAAACCGAAATTCAATTGATTCCACATACACGATTTTATTTTTGCTCACTTATTTTACACATTAAAGAAACTTTTTTCTTTTCGAATAAATTATTAAATTAATTTCAATATTTTTATTTTTCTATTTTATAGAGATGTACCAACTCAAGGTCGTTTACAAGTCGGTCCATTTATAATTTCACCTGCCTTTGCAATGATTATGCCAGGTGGAAATACAACTGTATCTGTTGAATGTATACCTGAATCAGATGTACCAAGAAAATTTGAAGAAGTAATTCTATTGTTTACAAATTTTGTCTATCCGTGATTCTATAAACAAAAATCAAGCACCTAATTAATTTTGTAGTTAAGTGCTAATAATGTATATAGCATGCAAAAGTTCCTGTGACGTACTGTAAACCCCTCCCCCCCAGAATAAAAAGGCATGGCCTTCTATTATGTCCCAGCGAATCGGTCTTTTTTTGGTGGCGTTATATTATGTCTAGAGAATCAAACGGTCCGGGGTGGCCTTCTATTCCGGGTGCCTTTCTATTATAGGGTGGCGTTCAATTTGGGGGGGGGGGGAGGGGTTATGACCAATTTTCGACGCTGCGCAAACATAATTTTTTTCTATGCGAACAAGAAATTCCTTTTTCCTTATGTCATCTTTTTATCAATTAATGTTTTCGTAAAAAAAAACAAAATATACTGTAAGATGCAGCGTGAAAAGCTCTACAATCTACAAAGGAAAGCTTATTTCAATTATGTACTTTTCGTTTTCCAAAAAAGCAAAATTCAGTGCGACCAATATTCGACGCTGC